CCATCTGAGATAATAGCTTGATACTGATAAAATAGCAAAGTCGAATTCATTCATGGTCGAGCCGGAGAGTGAGTTCGCCTGCCAGGTTTCAAAGTCATGCGCAAAACACAGTTGACGTGAGAGGCGGCCAATCAATATAGCATAGGAGATGCAAGGAAGATGAGCCAACAAGAAAGCAAACCCCGATGTTCCCTGGACGTCTGTCTGTGACCTCTACTGTGTAGAAAGTCACATGTCTTGGGCTGGGATAATCGGGTGGCTGTCCCGGCTCCCGACTTTTGAATGATGAGTGGACGTCAGGATCAGGACTATCAAAACTTTGAATCAAGCTGAAGCAGCCGGTTCATTGTCTATTGTCTAGGACTGGACTCAACAAAAGGCGGGAAATTTTGGGTCGGGGTCTAGGAGGAGCTTGTTTTTTCTTGTGTCTGGGCGTTGATGATCCTCGCATGGCTTACGGGAAGGCTACGGCTACCTTACCGCACTTGACCGCCGGGTCCTTTTCAAGGGAGAGGTGACAACAGCAGAGACAAACTGACATGATCTTTCAAGTGAGACATGATACTTGACGAGTGGCTCACCAGGACAGCCACAGCGTAATTTACAGACCCGAGGACGAGCGGCCACGGGTTGGTCATGGTCGAAAATAGAATCACAGGAATAAAAGATGCTCTTGGAAATTCCCAGGCCATCACATTGGCACTGTGTTGGGCTCCAGGCCCTTGGTGTTTTCATGTTTCCATCACTGGTGGGCCATGAAGCCCAGCCACGACGAAGTTGATGTTAGAGCCAAGTCTAAAAGAGACGAGCAACACGGTAACTCCACCCAGCGCCAGTACGGATACTGAACAGCACCAACGAATCAAGCAGGTCATTGTCAGCGCCAGCGGCGGATGGTGGTTGTTCATACATCCCGGTCCAAGAGGGGAAATCCGGCGTGTTCGGAGAGCGGCGACCCATGCTGCCAGGCCGGGTCAGGCATTGTGGACCAGGACTCCAGGAGCCATGAACGAGCGAGCAAGCTTGAGCCAACTCCGCACGAGCAGGCGTGGGCTTAACTCCATGCCTATGTACGGAGTACAATATGATTCTATTTTGCCCAGATTCAATGACCAGGATCGTGATGCGGTCATAGCCATGGGTAAAAAGAAAAGGTATAGGTATTTCGCTCAGTCTTGTTTGCGCTTCGCCGGGAGAGGTCATTGGAGATTGACCGCGATGGGCCAATTATCTTCTCTTGGAAGTTGGACCCCAAGTCGTTCACTGGACCTCCGAAACTCAAATTTGTAACAGTGACGAACCTCTCTTTAGAACGAACCTCTTCTAGCTATCACGGTTCCTGCGCAAGCGAATCCCGTAGTCAGAAGTTAGTGAGCCTAGGCTGCATGAGATCCCCCATTGTTGAGCGAGTTCCTCGGCACTATCTAGAGATGGTAGGTAACTCGCTCTCCTTGCTGGTTGCCTTTGGTTTCTCAACTTTTCGCAATACGAGTTGTCGGTAGTTGCACAGAATTGATGGTGCACAAGTTGTTCCGGCACTTGAGGCGACAGAGGTAACCCAAAGTAACGGTCCCGTAATAGTTTGGCGCGCCGTTGAGAACTGTGAATTGGAGATGGATCGACTGGAGTTAATAAAAGCAACAGGCGATCAGAAGCGCCGAGAAACTAGAATGGCAAAACTCTGATGCCTTTTTTTGCGCCCTTCTGTTAGTTTAGGGCTCTTCCAGTCGGAGTTGCAAAGACTCTGATTGGCGATTCGGAGCTCGTCGAAAGAGCTCTGGCAACTCAATCGCAACTCATTTTGTAGAGTACCCGGTACAAGATAGTCGGTTTACACAGTGCTGTGCCGCAGCTAAGAGGTAGAAGGAAGGAGAGGGCGAAACCCGACGAACAAGAGAGTTGATTGACATGAATCGACGAATGGCGTTGAAGGATTAGGACCACACACAATAACAAGACAACACAACAGCGCAACACACAACTAACACACGACACGACAATGACACGACACGATTACAAAAGCAACAACAAGGCCGGGATAGACAAATAGAAATCCGCCCTGCTCCCAACACAACAACGCGACACAGAATCAATTGGACCATAGGGTAGCAGTGTGCTGCTCAAGGGTAATTTTCCCATTGTAGATGCTGTGATGAGTCTGAGGCTATCACGGACCGGACAATGATATTATCAGAATCCTATCACATATACCTAAACTTCCGAGTTACCAAGATAATGCCTGCAAATAAGAACATGGCCAGCAATACTCGATTGCGTAGACAGACCGAGCGAGGGTCTTCAGCCGGGGGCTTGAATGTGATCAGGATGAGTGATAACAAGGCCTGCTCGGTTATAAAACGCCCGAGTAGCCTGACATCTCAACTATCACTTGATCCTTGTATGTGATCTACGTAGTCAATCTCACTCTGGAAGAACCAACCGACAATGAATACGAATTGGTATATGTATGTAGAGGCGGATATGGCGAACATTAAGTTACCACTGTAGTATAGTATGTTTCGAAATACTCAAAATCTGGCCAATGATGATCCTATCTGATCTACATCTCGATATGATAAACTATGATTCCATTAATCTCAAGTTGAATCTTGAAATCGACGTTGTGTGCGGGCTTTTCCCCGTCGCATCAAGCGGATGCTGCGGTGCGGTGCCCTGTGGGTGCACAACAATACTGCTGGCGCGAGTGAGCGGAGCTTAACCTGCCAGGGGGCATTAGCACCAAGCATCGCTCCCGTCTGTTGTCCCCGGGATTCTTGATCCTTGCAGGCCATGGCAGTGGCCAGGTATCTGTAGCCCTGACGGACCCCCCGTGGCTCGTGGCTCCCTGTGATGTTATGTTCTGAGAGGAGAGACCGATCACTATGACCCTGACTCTGACTCTGTCCAGGAAGAATCCCCAGCCCCGGCCCCTGCTCCCAGCCCCAGGCCCAGCCCAGTTCAGTCCGAGTTGCGATGCCCGAGTTCGATCGTATGTACTGTACTTAGAATAATGTACATACATACGAAGAACCGCTCAGAAGAGAGAAAACCCCCATGATCAACCTCCTCTCAACGTACTTAAGGTGGCCTGGTACGACGCTGCTTTGCGTACCCCTCAAGGATGGTCCCTGTGTTCCGCACCCCTCGCACCACCCGCCACTGTACTGTACATCACTGGACTCAGTGGCTGCTCTTTGGCCCTACAGAGAATCCTACATCCACCGAGTTTGCGTGCTGGGTTGGGCTGGCTGCGAGCTTGATTGACGGTCCCCTGGTTCTGTTGTGCGTTGACAGAAGAGTGACCAATGCTTATCCGACAGTGGAGTGCGTCTTGATTCTTTCGATATGGTACGTATTGCACTGTACCTGGAGTAATGGAAAAAGAGAGAGGAGACCTTGATTATGATCCTGGGCAACTCGGCTCCATCATTAGCGACCCAGCTGTGGAAAGACATCAAAGGCGACAGAGGCAAGATCCAGCCTCCAGCCTCCCAGGCTTGACCAAGTACCCAGGTACTCAGTCTCAGTTTGACCCAGAGCACAGCACAGTATCGTACCGTGTACTGCCAGGATTGGTTTAGTCTCTTTCATGATCCACGCCAGCACACACCTCCCTCAGATTCAACAGACAAGGGCGATGTCGGCCATGCTCGTACGGTGAGTGATTGTTCTGTGAAGGGTTTTATTGAGTGAATTTTTCAAGGACTTTACAGCCCAGGCTGAAAAACAGAAGTTAAAGTCAAACGAAATAGCATATCAGCAGTTAATGGGAGCAAATATGGGCTCTGCTGGGTAAGAGGCGTAGTCTAAAGGTCTCCCTCAAGGTTGGAGTAACTGAACTGGCCCGACAAGACTTCTGCCCTTTTACCAACCATGCATTAAGTTCGCGTGTTCTCATGTAGGTACAGTACGTAGAGCCTGGATCCACTGATGAGTGCGTGTACAGTAGACTTGCATGGTCCTGCGGCCGTGCTTAAACCTTGAAGCTCTATTCCCTAGGGGACAATTGCCTCTACGTTGGTTGAAGCGAACATCATATCAGAGCATGTTTCTGACCAAGCAACCAAGGTTGTAGCTGTAGATGATATTGATAAACAAGATGTTAGATGATACACACGTGTGTCGATTAAACTGTAAAGATCATCAAGATCTAATCAATTGCTTAATATCTTGTCTCTCTTCTCATTGACAAGAACTGCCTAAGAATTTACGGACTTACCCCTCTTCACCCTCGACTAAAATTCTCTACAGCACCTACAGTGTCAGTGCAAGTCCACTACAACTACCTACTACCTAGCCCGTAGTAATCATTATGGATGGCACACCCTCCTCGGTTCCGCTTAGGATGGAAACCCCCCACTTGCGACTTCACACTCCCACTCACTCCCCAATCCCAGTCCCAGTCCCAGCAATCCCAGTCCCAGTCCCAGTATCCATCCCTCAACCCCGACTCCTACTCCTCTTCTGCCTCCTCCTCCTCCCCGTACCGACTTGATAGTGGGGCGGGTACTGGACAAGGTATCGAGAGTGAGGGTGAGGTGAGGGTGAGGTTTAGTACAATCAAGAAGAAAGCAACTACATGGGTACGTACCTCACCTGCCTCCTCTGTTCCTTCTGTTCGTTCTGCCTCTCACCACCAAGATCCTGACCTTCTCGGGTTTTTCTTCCTCTCTTTCCCTTTTCTATTTCTTTTTTCTCTTCTCTTTTTCTTCTCTTGCCGGTCTTTCTTTCCCTTTGCCGTCCACCTCTTTTCCTTCGAGTTCGCAGTCATCACGCTATCTCCATTTATCACGACACCCACGACTGCTTTCTTCCCTCCTCACAATTGAATTGAATTGTCCCGCAGCATTAACGTAAACGGCCCTAGTCACATTCTGAACACGAACCTCACCATCAATTCCTATTCCCAATTGCAAGGCCCGGTTGCAGACGGTCCTCAACTCTACCCCCAACCCGTACCTCAAATCAGCAGCAACAATTCCCTCGAAAATTTCTACATGATGAACCAAACTCATCACCAGCAATCAGAAATGTATTACCCTCAGTATCAGACGCAACAGTACAACCCATATCCTTATCCTACGAATGGTGCCCATACTCCCGCTGTCTCCACTCCTATGCCCGGGCCTCAGAATGTACTGCCGGTACCTTCGGCCCTGAGCAATCAAGGAGCCATGCCACAGGCCGCTTATAGCAACAATGCTCCCGCTGGTAACTTCGACACAACCGGACAGCACAACCCCCCAGGCATGAAGCCTAGAGTCACAGCGACTCTTTGGGAGGATGAGGGTAGCTTGTGTTTTCAAGTTGAAGCCAGAGGTATCTGTGTCGCACGTAGAGAAGGTAAGCATTCATCCTCCCAAGCGCTGTGCGTACTTACTGACTAACTCGTCTCAAAAGATAACCACATGATCAACGGAACAAAGCTATTGAATGTCGCTGGCATGACCCGAGGACGTCGAGACGGTATTCTAAAGAGCGAAAAGGTCCGACATGTTGTGAAGATTGGTCCCATGCACCTGAAGGGCGTTTGGTGAGTTTCATTCAGCGTCAACCTTATAGTTGGCGGCGAACTAACCTAGAAACAGGATCCCATACGACCGCGCCCTGGATTTTGCGAACAAGGAGAAGATCACTGAACTTCTGTACCCTTTGTTTGTCCATAATATTGGTGCTCTCCTATACCACCCTTCCAACTCCAACAGGACTAGCCAAGTGATGGCTGCCGCTGAACGAAAGAAGAACGAAGCAATTGTCGGCAACCGGTCATTACCCTCGCTTGTTCAGCCGCATCACCAGATGATGCCTGGAATGCCCACTGGATACGCCCCTCAGCAGCCTCTAACGAACGGACATCAATCCATGACAAACACCCCTCAGCCTCTCACCAACGGTTCCCAGCCTCCCATGAATGGGCCCCAAACTCCCATGAATGGCTCTCAGCCACCTATGCAGAATGGAGCTGGTATGCTGAAGCGAGTGCGCGATGATGATGATGAATTGCACCGTTCTGCTCCTAATGGGCATGACCCCATGAACAACATGCATGGAATGCCTAACGGATATCCCCACCAATCCCCTCTCGGAAGCGTTCACCAACCTCCCATGCAGAACGGAGGTGAACTAAAGCGAGGCCGAGATGAGCATGATGACATTCACAGATCAGGCCCCAACGGACACGATCCTATGAACAACATGTCTGGCAGTATGCCTAGCCTTCCAACATATGCTCCCCCGCCTCTGCAGAATCTTCATCAGCCCCTTTCTAATGGCGATGGTGGCATGCTTAAGAGAGGCCGAGACGATGATGACGATGTCCACCGGTCAAGCCCCAATGGTCATGATGCCAACGGCAATTTCGAGATCAAGAGACGCAAGACCGAGACGTCAACTTCAAGCGATATGCTACCTCAATCGCCCTACTACACTCTGTCCACCAACGGAGCATACCAAGGTCCTATGATGAACGGCATGAACCCTTATAAGCGACGGGACGATGAAGCCGAGACGCCTCGACCAGGACCAAACATGAACGACATGAACAACTTCGATCTGAAGCAGCGACACAAGACCATGGAGTCGAGCGTCCCTGCTCCTCAATACGACGCAATGAACAGGCCTCACTCCAGTATTGGAAACTCTCCTGCGTACGCTCCTGCTCCTGGCTATGACCATCTTACTCGCCCTGCCTCTACCGTCGCGGTATCTCCCTCGTATCCTTCTGCTCCTGGGTATGAGCTTGCGCGACCCGCTGGGACTAACGTTCCCAGAAGGCAGCAGTCCTTTGGATAATTTTGCTGCTTACAAAAGTTATCTCATTAAACTTTGGGCTGACCTGGTGTCCTACCTCCACCAAAGCCATTGTGCCAACACCAATTCAAGTACCTATTTGGTAAATGGCAAATGGAAAAGGTACCCATGCCTGTTTGGCTTGAGGACATGACAAAACATTCTTTCCGTTTATGTCTTTTTTCTTTATCTTTTTTTTTTTTTGTTTTTCCTTTTTAAGACTATTGCATGTTTTATGTCGGGTACTCGCAGAAGAAATCCCATCGAAACCCTTTGGATCTAAAGACGATGCTGACGAGTTCACGAACGACTTCCGATTCTATGTTAACCAGCATGCTCTGTCACGGATATACATGACTAATGAGTCACGTTTTGCATGGAGGCTTAATTTCCGGGAAGAATCACTGCAGCAACCTTTTTCTTTCTGATTGATTACTCCGGAATGCGATATGATCGCACGATATGGGACAGCACTGCCTGTAATGAGCCCAGGCGGGAATGATGACTTCGGAACAGACACAGGCGCGACCTCTTACCTTGACAAACCGTCAGTGGGCTGGAGTGCCAAGGTACGGGGTCAACCCTGTGTCTGGTTCTTGATGACGATTTACGACTTAAATTTCTCTTTTCTTCACTTCTTTCTTCTTGTGTGGCTGTCTGCGATAGTGGATAGCGCTCAAGCGAGGTGTGTGTTGTTGGGAATGTTGCTTTACTAGGTAACGAATTATGAGGGAACAATAAAAGCTTCTTTTTTCGAGATTAAATACAATTTAGAGCGTTTGATCAGATGAACCGATGTACAAGTGCATTTGCGATTTCTACCGAGACAGAGTGAAGATGCCATGGAAACCGCATCATCATCGTTGCAGACCAAGAATAAGTGTTCATGCAAGAATGACTTAAATCCACCTGCGTAGTCTTCGTATCCATCAATCAACCAGGCTATGCCTGTAATGTTGCAGATCATACCATGTCGCTTGCAAGGCTGCAGTGGTCGTTAGATTATGGTCACCCATGAATCACGTGAACAGACCCATCCTGTTGCCGGGTCGACTGCAGTCAATAGAACTTGGTGTTAGTTCTTGACCGTTGAGCTCGATCCCCTAAACAACTGCAACACTTTAAAAGTTCTTTGGTTCAGCCAGACAATCAAGTCAGTAAAATACTCTCTCACCTGTAATTGGTTTCTTCGATTGCATTTTTTGTCTTTGCTTTCAGCGCGCAACACAATGGAAACACCATTATCACCAGTTCAAGATTCCAATCTTAACATCCAAACACCAGCTACCACCAAACGGTACGACAACTTCGAAGTCTCCGCACCTGCTGAAACACATATCGAGCCTTTCCAAGGGTCCTCTCCCTTTGTGTCAGCCATCAACGACTCTGCCCTTTCCGATCAAGAGAACCGTTCTCCTTCAAAGGCACGGCATTCTAGAATCCTTTCAGGGGCGACTCTTTCACCGCTCAAAATCCTCGCTGACCAGCAAGAGGCAAGGGACGGAAGACCAACTGATAGAGTTGCTACCGGTTCCCGTAGCCCTCGCAAACTATCCCCCGAGAAACGTTTCCCTGTTAAGATCAGCAACTCTCTCGACACATCACGCACCTCCCGCGAGAGTACAATGAGCTTGGAGGACGCTGTGCGACAAAACGAAGGTCTCAAGCGCGCAATTGAGATCTTTGAAGACGAGCAAAGCGTGCTAGAAGACGGCCAAGACAAAATGGACGTCTCTACTGGTAGTGCCAACATGAACCCTGAAGGCGAAATGGAGGTCGATGAGTCTGTGTATCCTGACGATTCAATGGTCAGCACATTCAGCACATTCTCAGCTGTGCCAAACCTCACCATGTTCGCCAAACTTGGCCAAAGCCCTACCAAATTGTCTGATATGGGTGGCCTCACCCCTCGCGCCAAAACAAAAGCCGATCCTTCACCATCACGAACGCCGCAAACTAGAACAAAAAATGATTCAGGAAACACAACAAGCCTGTTGGACTTTACTGACAGCCTTCGCTTCCCTCAAAAGACACCTTCTAGAGGCGGACTGTCTCCATCCCGAACGGCTCCCAATGTGGCTGCAACTCCTTCTCGTGGCTTTGCCAACCTCATCGACTTTGATATCCCTCCTATGCCCACACCACGCAGCATCCCCAGTATCACTGCTCGAGAACTCGAGTCCCTTAAGTCAAACTTCCTGTCTGAGATCAGCTCACTCAAGGCTTCGTTGAGCGGTAAGGAAGCTGAAGTGCAATCACTAAAAGCTGCAGTTGGTGATGCGGAGAAGCGTGTGGGCGAATCTCAAGAGCAGCTTCGCGAAGAACAGACTATTAAAGAGCAGCTTACAGCTGAAAAGGAAGGATGGGAGAACCGCGGACGCGAAATGGAGAGTGTCTTGCGAAAGGTCAAGGAAGAGATTGTGGAAAGCCAGCGAGAACAAGAAGAGCTAGAACAGAAGTTGGAGGAGAGTGAGAAGAGACGTGAAGCAGCCGAGATGTTGCACCAAGAGGCGGAGAGCAAGATCGCTGGAATGCGCGCTGGAAAAGATACTGAGAAGTCTTCACCCGAGAAGCCTAAGAGCGCAAGCGATACCAACCACGAAGTTGAAATCGCTGTTGAGCGTGTAGCCCGTGAACTACATGCGCTGTACAAGAGCAAGCACGAGTCCAAGGTCACTGCTCTGAAGAAGTCGTACGAAACCCGATGGGAGAAGCGTGTGCATGAGCTCGAAAGCAAAATCTCGGAACTTGTGGAGGAGAACGAGCGCCTAAGGGCCAGCCAGGACACAACCATGTTCAGGGCTGACAGTGCCGAGGTCGAAGAACGCAAGGCCCAAGCAGTCCGAGACAGTGCAACAATCAAGGAGCTCAATGCCGACATCCAACGGCTCGAGGCTGTTGTACAAACGGTGCAGCTTGATAACGAGTCACTTCGCAGCATGCTTGAGCGGGAACGTGTTGAGAAGGGTGAGCTTGTGCAACTCGCTGAGGAGATGATGAGCATGCAGAGCTTTGTCGCCCAGACACCTAAGCCTGAGCCCCAGCAGCAAATTCAACGACCTCAATCTGTATCCCGTAACCCTCATGAGAGGCAACACGAGAGAGAGCCGGAGGCCAAGACTCCTAAGCGAAGTGCGGACCACTTTAGAAGCAGCGTCAGCCGCGCTTCTGGACTGCGTGCACCTGGCTCTGGTCTTCGAGCACCTCATGAGCGAACAAAGAGCGCAGGTGGACTACCTCGCCCTGGTGGCGCTCGCAGCGGTATTATGAGCTCCATCGAAAAGATGGGCAACTATCGGGGACGTGGAGGCGAATAGACATGTGACGGAAGAGATATGACGAGCCCAAAAAGGGCAGATGAACGATACAACTCATGACACGCAAAACTGTATGACGACAAACTTGTTTTTCTGCTTTTTATGCGAGGCATTCATTGCGTGAGGGATGCTGGGAGCTCCCTTCATAGCTTGGCGTGGTACTTCTTACTTTTGATGTTTGTGATGTTAGATATCACTGGCGTCGGGACTCTTTTACATATGGATGATAATTGAATCGAATTAATATTTCAGTATAATGACACGACACCTCTGTTTGAAAGTGACAATCCATGAACCATAGACTGATGAAGGACAGGGTATGATTTCAAGGGTATTTTTCATTATCGGCTACTTAACTTCTCAACTCTCTATTTCATGATCTCATTAAAGGACTATGCTTGTCCTTCAAATTTGTGGTACTGAATATCATTCCAATCTGACACTCATCCATCTCCCTATATACTGTTTCCTTGACAATCGTGATGTACATTGTTCGTTTTAATGATAACTTATTCTTTTAGAGCTTGTAAGCCTTCTTAGCGGTACCGCCAAAGATCATAGCGCGCTCCTCATCACCGAGCGTTGCCATCCAGCACATACGCTCAACAACATTGCGCCATCTAGGCCAGGCATTGTCGTTGTTGACAGTGCAGACGGGCCAGTCGCTACCAAACATGATACGGCTGGGGGTAAAGGTAGCAAGAACGATGCCGAGCCAGCCAAGAGTGGCCTCGAAGATATGGTTGGGGTCTTGCTTTCGCAGGGAGTCGGGCATCTCGGAGAATCCGCCTGAGAGTTTCATATAGACATTGGGATCCTTGCTGAGGGTGTAGACGGCGGTGCGCCAGGCGTGGAATCCTGGGTCGGATGTGACATTGATGATGCTAAAGTCTGGCTTGCAGAGATGGTCTAGTAAAACACTCTGTTAGTTCACAGTCAAGATAAGGGGAATAGTAGTGTCGACGAACTTAGAATCAATGTGACTTTCTCCTCGTCAGGAACACCATCATGCACACGATCGACAAACTCAACGACTTCCTCAAGCTGCTTCTTTCCTCGACGGTGCTGATCAACACCAACGTCAAAGGTAAAGCCACGACGGCCTAGCAACTTCACACCCTCAATGAACTTCTCGTCCAACATAGTGCCGTGAGGCTTGTCCTGAAGCAGATAGCGGAAACCTTTGATCTTTGGCCAAGCATCGCCAGCTTCCTCCTTAACGCGATCAAGGTAGCGCTCCAACACCTCGGGACCACTGACTACAGGCGCCCAAGGTACGATACCCAGACACAGCTTTGCGTCCTCGGCTTTGTGTCCCTCGCCCTCGCGCGGTTGGCCAAGCGCAATACGCTTGAGCCACGAGACCTCAGCTAGAGGACCCTCCCAGCCAGATCCATCTGCAGCACCAGCTTCGACATCGTTCTTGCGGTCTGTCTCGACGAAGACAAAGCCAAGGAGGGAAGGAGCTGAAGAGGAAGCTTCGCGGTATTCTTCGAGAGAGTGCTGGCCGGCGAGAGGGGTTTCGGGGGTGTACCAGGAGAGAGAGTCGACTTCGGAGGCAGGGTAGAGGTGGATATGGGAGTCGATGATGGGGAGGATGATCTGTTCGTCGGACATGTTTGCGGTTGATGAGCTGTAGTTGGATGTAGGTTGAAACTGTAGGAGCTGAGCTCTGAAAAGGAAGAAGGGCCTGTGTTCCTTCTGATAGGTGATCAATTCAACGTGGGATTGATCACTGATGTTATCTGGTAAGACAATCAAGGAACCAGAAACTTCGATGTTGTTGTGATATGTAAAAACGACGTTCCAAGTACGGTGAGACAAGAGTTGATATGGATGCTACAGTTATATCCAATCGATAATAGGGAGTTACCCCGCCATGGATAAGATGCCCCTGAAGGGTCCTGTTGAGGTCCCATTAAATGCCTGTAGAAGGGAACAGTGGGGGGGCTAAGCAATGGATCTCTTTAGAGCGAAAGACCGAGACAACTACAAAGTTGACCTAGACACTAACTGACATTGTATCACTTAATTTACTGGGACAAGAGTTTGTTTCATTCCATGAATAGATTCAATCGTCATCTATCCTAGACAGCTAAGCTTTTTCATTCATTATTCATTCGTTGCTCATGACTGTCCCTTGATCATCCACCTCATACTTCGTAATGGCTAGTTTAGACCTTCATCCATCGCCAGGTCTTGAACCACATCCAGATATTGATTAATTGCAAGAGAGGGTTTCTCATCATCAGATCAGATGAGATTCTCATGCAGTTTGACATTGTTTCTGAGACGACCCCTTTCGAGGTCTCCCAGCTCACTCAAGAACAGAAAAGAGTGAGGAAGAAGAATTACGCCTGCGCAGCCACGAGATGTGCCCATCGTGGACTGTGCCAAACGGTCGCAGCATCGACCTAACTGACGATCAACGTACCGGCGCGGCTGAGACGTTCGAGACCAGCTCGGCGTGCCATCCGCGTCATGGGAAAACGTTGACGCAGGTCGGAACAGGAAAATGATTGCTGATATTACCACAACAACATAAGTCGAGTCATCCCGGCGCGGGTGTGCTGCCAGGGGATGCACGATACAAGGAGTGAACGGCTAAGGGTTCTCTCAACCTCTTGCCAAAGTCTTCGCCCTACATTGACGCACTTATGCAACGACACCGTGGCGGCGGGAGCTAGTGCGGGAGACGGAGGCTTCGTACTCATACTCGTCCTCGCTGCCGCTGGAGCAGGAGTCGCTGTCATCATCGTAGCCACATCGGGATCCGCCGCAGTCGAGCTTGACACGCTCGCCCTTGCGAGTAATACCGTAGCGCTCGCAGGTGCAAGAGCTGACGTCGGATCCGGGGGTGCTGTAGCCAGAGAGGGACGAGTTGGGAGAAGAGCTGTCGGAGCGGTAGGACAGGGAAGAACCGCTGGAAGAGACTGGCGAGGTGCTGAAGTCGGTGATGAACTCGTCCTCGATGTTGGCGCTGCCAAGACGGTCGGCAAGCTCCTCGAGTTCCTCGTTGTCGTAGTAGGAAGCATCCAAGATGTGCTTGGTCGCGTGGGGGGACATGGGCTTGGGGGCCTGGATCTGGGAGATTGACAGGGGGCGGCCCTTGGGGATGTCTACGGAGAGCTTAGAGCTGTGGCGGGAGGATCGCGAAGATCGAGACTCCTTGTCCTTGGATGAGTGAGAAGAGCTCTTGCTGCTGGAGGAAGACTTGTGCGACGAAGACTTGGAAGAAGAAGAAGACTTGGATGAGGACTTTGAGGAAGAGGAAGACTTGGAGGAAGACTTGGAAGAGGAGGAGCGAGATGAAGACTTGTGAGAGTCGGTGGGAACGTCGAGAACGTTCAGCTCACGGCCAGTGGTGGGCTCAACGGTTGAGGTGACGCTGGGGTTGTGGGCAACGTGGTAACCGTCGATGATGTAGTAGTACCAGTATCGTTGGCCAGCCTCAAGAGTTGAGTTCTGGAATCGAAAGGTGCCCTTCCAGGAGCCGGACTTTGAAGAGGACTTGTCCTTGGAGAGAGGGAGCTGACCGACGTAACCGTCCCAGGAGCCGAGAAGGTGGACAGTCTTGACGCCAGAGGAGACACGGAGAGAGAAAGAAAGTTGAATAGCCGACATGTTGACTTTTTGATTTGTATTATGCGCTTAGTATGCTATGTTGTTTGGGGAGCAAAAGATGCTGAAAGATTGCAGTATTGGTTTTTTGATTTGATAGTTGGCGCGAGCAAGTGAAATCCGTGAATTTCTGTAATTAGACGATTATAACGGGCGTGAAAACAAAAATAGTCGTAAAAAGGTATTGTCTCTAAGCTGACCAGCAACTTGAATAGTTTCGAGATATTGATGCGGGTGATTTGATTTGATTTGGATTAGAGACAACAAAAATTAGAAGTATAATAGAGACCTGCTCTATGGAGGAGAAACAACGAAAACACGAGGGGAAAGGGTAAAGAGACCCAAGAACAGAAACCGGACTTGCGATTGAAAAGGACTTGCTGAAGAAGAAAGAGAAAGAAAAGAACCATTGGGGGCGGGTGTTGGTCCTGTTTATAAGAAGCGGCCGTGTATGGCGGCCATAGTACAAGACTCGGCTGCCGTATGGATGTGGATGCTGCCTTGCGAATTCATTACTGTGCAATACGCAATACAATAAACAAAGCAAGGAAGATTAAAGCAATAATCACCAGATTCAGCCAATGAGAGACTGCAGACAAGGAGATGGCTCGTTCATGTCGACGACCATCCCATCTCATCACACTTTGTAAAGGAAGGGTTCCCATTCTAGCGTGGGCGGTTAAGCAGAGAGAAAGTCAGTGTGGATCAAGAAAGTGCGTGCATGGAATAGTGGGGCCAATGTGCGATATTTAGAAGCAACCCACTGAAGTCCAGGGAGCGGGGGAGAAACACTGCGCCAATTAGATCGTCGCTACCGCTAAACAGGCCCAAAGGGTGACCCCCGTCGAGCGTCTATTTCTTCCCCGCCATTGGTCCGTGACACCGCTAGATGCCATCTCTCGTCACGCTGCAGACCAGCCAATGACATTCTCTACATCCAACGTCGTCAACCACTTCAGCCCATGCAGAGGCCTCAGCATTCACTAATAGCAATCTATGGATCATGCAAGGTCTACTTAGCCCTTACTCCTTCTCTTCATCGCACATCGCACCGCATAGCATGGCATCTGCCGTAACAATGTTCTGCCTTGACATCTCTGTCTACCATTGGGCCTCTCTCTAGTCGGGCGAGACGTGGTGCAACCCTCGAGTTCATGCGGCCGACTCAAGTATGTATGTACATATGACTGACTGAATGACTTTGTGTCTGCAATTCGACAAGTCAGGAATTATAGTACATTGAATGTCTATCAGCTTCAATGCGGAACGATATGCTCAGTTATCATCGTATTGGTGGTAGTATTTCGACTATCGTTTTCCCGCTAGATACTATTGCAAAAAAGTATCCGTATCCATACCTGCACTATTGAACTAGAACAGAGACATGCGCATTGGCGGTGGCCCATTTACAGACCAGTATACAAGGTACCTTAGTACATAGTCTACATATCGAGGACTCGTTTGTATTCCCATGTCCAGCCACCTCCGTTCACCATCCCTGACAGGCTCCTCAATCATATGCACACAGAAATCTCTGCTATCGATTGTAGCGCAGTCATTATGGATACCGGTGAGCACAGGTCATATCTTCAAGACTCCATTCGATAAGCATAATGGGTCTAGGCATACCATCCCCATCTTCCCCTCCACGGCCCGTCCGCGAGTGCCCGAGAGAACACCTCTTTCCAAGACTCTACCTTTACTATCCAGGCCTAGCATCGGTAGCATCGGCCCTCCGTCATCCGACTACATGCATGCTATGACATTTTAGCTCCGGCGGGTATGTGAGGTCCGTCACACTCACACTCACACGAGTGAGTTGCACCCACCGCCCTCTCTATGCACAAGGCATATGCCTGTGATAGTAGAAGGAGGGGGACTTCTTCCACTTTGCAAAGACCCAAAGGCAAGGATCTTCAGTGAGGGACTTTGGCTTAAAGCGTGACTATCTTGTATGCTGCATGTCTGCGTAAGTGGAGGGCATGACTATTGACGAGTGAGGTTGGGGATCTTATTGCTGGAACTTCTACTACAAATGCAACAGTAAACAATGTTTCCACAGAGGATCCTAATCACTTGACAAAGGTCGCACTCGAAATGGCTCCGTATACTACGAACTTCCGTTCTAAAGAACTCAGATGACCTGTTTCATGCTGTAAGACGACGCTTTTGTGCTGAGATGCATGAATAGTTGCCGCTGGCAGTCTATCTTCGCGTAATGATGATTCCAAGTGCAACTACGATGGTCTAGATGTGGTACTATTCGGCGAATTATGATAGATTCCGACTATGCATGATATTGGAGAGTTGAACTATGTCTCAGAGGTCAATACGCCCAGTCTCTGTTGTTCTGTTCTGTTTGTGATCTGTGGTCTATCAACAGTCGCCCTTTTTAAACTCAACAGATACTGTTTGCACGTTGGTGTAGGCTCGGAACATATCTCAAGGCCTTTAAATGGCTAAGCCAGTTTTATCAACATAGTGTCACTTGAAATCAGATATCATGTAGTGAATGAAAGGTCGACTCTAGTCATAAACTATAGCCAAGGTGCTAGGGCGGTCTGAACAAGACGAGGAATGCGATTAATATATCCCTTTCTCAAAACGTCTCGGTTTAAGGAATTTCCTGTTCAAACTATGTCAGTTTACAGAGACTTTCAGTCTTTCGATTTGCTTGTATCCGTAGTTGACTTATACTTAGACGGCCGGTGGTGATCACGTGGTCACCCGCTGTCATTCCACAACGACCTCATCTCAACGCGTTGCTCGTCACGTCTCATATGCACTGGATCATCAATTAGGCTTGACCTTCCTATTCCAGCCCATTGCTGCCTAGACAGGTCCATAGCAATTAATTTCAATATCATTATGAAACGTTGTCAAGACTCTGATTACAAACCATTATCGTGAATGGAGCTAATTTTCAAGTTTGAGATTTTAGTGTCTTCATCTCTGTCTTGACCATCACTTACTTCCAACACATCTTCCTCTGGCAACTTGCGCTCTGTCATGAGACATATCTTGACAAGGACATTTTCATCGTCATATCGCCAGACTTGCCGTCCATTTGCAAAACCCTTTATTCTCGGCCACAGGACACATCGCAAAATGACCGCCAACAATTTTTCAGTTGACGATACCCTCATTGGAAAGGTGACGGCGTATGTCGAGCAGTACATGTCCAACTACGACGCATCTCACGACTTCAACCACATTAAACGTGTTCTCCGCCTGTCTCACCATATCCAATCTCACACACCTTCAACAAGTCGGTCTCTTGTCACTTTGGCCGCGCTACTCCATGATGTCGGCGACAAGAAGTACCTCCGCCCTGGTGAAGATCCCTCACGTATGGTGGCTTCAGTGCTCGTCTCTTTCGGCGCACCGCAGGATCTCGCCGACACTGTCCAGGCCATTTGTCTCGGCGTCAGCTACTCCTCCGAAGTCAAGAATCCGGCACACACTCAGTCTCTGGTCGAGAAATATCCGGAACTGGCAGTTGTTCAAGATGCCGATCGGTTGGATGCCGTTGGAGCGGTGGGAATTGCAAGAACATTTGCATTTGGAGGAGCCAAGAGCCGTACTTTGGAGAACACTATGGAGCATTTTGATGACAAGTTGCTATTGCTCGAGGGCATGATGAAGACTGATGAGGGGAGGAAGATGGCTAAGGAGAGGACAGAGAGGTTACGGCTGATGAAGGAGTGGTGGCAAGAGGAGACAGCCGAGTAAATGGAGCAGTCAATCCAATAATTCCAAAACATAATCAAGACCAAAAAAAGCAATTTGACATCATTTTCTTACAAGTCTCTTGCTATTTCATCTCGGCTATCCAGACCGTCGTACATAACACAATCGAGGTTCACAGCCACCACCAATAGAATCTCACTCAGCGGGCGATTCTCCATCAGGCTAAAAGCACAGTCAGTCTCCCTCCCCGCAAACCTTGCGAGACCTTACGAGGACCTTACGAATAGACATAATTCAAGCCTAGAACCATCGGAACGTTTAGCCAATGGCCTTCCTTTATTCGCCTGACTCGGTTGATCTACAGTACACTGGCTTCTTGTCTTACATGAGAACCTGTATGGGTTAGACTAGGGGGGGGCTTGGGGCTTTTACAAGAAGGAAGGGGGACAAGACATCAGCTCGGAACGTTATTCGCAATGCAGCTGATAGAAAGGGTAATATAAGCCCATCATCACAATCGCCGCTTACTTTTCTCGTGCTCTTCTCTCATCAATATATCATCTTTAATCTGCATATCAGTTAGTATACGGCTTCACCTCGACTTACACCGTCCTCAAATCAAATCAGCCCACAATGGATACCCTCCCCACTGAAATCGTTATCCATATCCTGGACAACCTCCCATCCTCAGCTGTCAAGCAAGCACGTCTCACATCCCGAACCTTCAACGCCATCCTAGCAAAACGTACATTCGAAGTCCTTGTCTCTTTCCTAGACCCAGAAGTGGCACAAAATACCATCGTGGATGTCGCACGAGACCCTATGCGGCGGCGGCGAAGACCTTCAATTTGGTCGCCAAGATGCAGCGTACCCCAAAATTTACCTGTTGACGACTCATTCCTCATGGCGATGTGGGCTGGTTTACGCGGGGATTCATGGGTTGTAGAGACGGGTAGGAAGGGGGATAAGTTGAGTGTTGGCGAATGGCAGAAAGGAGTGGAGAAAGATATGAGTGAAGATGAGTTGAGGGGAGTGTTATTTCGATATGCACTTTATCTAAGCTACATGAGTGAGTGCGAAAGTGAGCAGGACATACCGCAGGCTTGGGTACTCAATTTGATGTGTGGAAAGATGGGACGTTGAGATTCTCAATGTGAAGACTCATACAGCATGTCTTTTAAGATTAAACATGGCAATGGTTTAGAGCGAATTACATGAGATCAATGATACTTGATAAACTCACTCAATATGAATGGCTCACATGAGTCAAAGAATGGTTAAACACATCAATCAAGGTGAGAATGGAACCATGAATTTTGCGACCGTCTATATTTTTAAGTGTACCTTTCTACAGGTAAAAAGTGAAACAAAGTCTAGTCTAAATGAATGGTCGCTAGTATGAAGTATTAAATGTACCTGAAATTAGTATATAAGTCGTATGCATATCGCGTTTAGATCTCATATAATCCATTCCCTCCAATCCCTCCAATCCCATCATCGCTCGGCCCAATCACCGTCGCGGTATAAGTAACCCCTGTTTATAGAACGCCGTTTGCTTTCGCAAACCAAATCAAATCATGCCCAAGTCTTATGCTTTTCATGCATCGTGTAAGGATCGTAAGAAGTTTTAAAAAGAAGATGGAGAAGTGATCAATCGATCAGAAGAGGTCCAGTTTAGATGAGGTAGGCGGCAGCGAAACCGACGATGGCCAGGAGACCGGTGACGGTGTTCATGGCAGCGCCGGCAGTGACGGGCTCGGGAACATCAGAGCTGGAAGGCTCGTGGTCCTCGCTAGAGTCAGAACCAGTGTTACCACCGTTACCGCCCTTGCTTCCACTGTCGCTGCCCTTGCTGCCACTGTTGTCGTTACCGTTGCCGTTGCCGTTGTTGTCGTGGCTGCCGTTGTCGGTACCGTCGTCGTTACTAGTGTGCTCGCCCTGAGGAGTCTTACCGCCCTCGGATCCGTGATGAGGAGGAGGGGCAACACCGGTGGGGTGAGCACCGCCAGAAGGAACGGGGTGGTAGGTGTGAGGAGGGTAGACAGCGGTACCGTTGTGAGCGTGGTCAACAGGGACGGTGTAAGTGATGGTCTTGGTCACACTCTGGCCGTGGTTGGTAGGGTGAGGGTAGGCGTAGGTCTGAGTCTTGGTGATAACATCCTGGCCGGGGTGAGTAGGCACGGGCTCATGGGGCTTGCTGGGCTCGGTGGGGTTGGGGTGGACAGGCTCGTGAGGCTTGCTGGGCTCGTGGTGAGCAGGCTCGGTAACCTCAGTGACAGGGCAGACAGTTGTGGAAACAGCGATGGTCTCGGTGGTAACATGGCCAACAGGGCAGTTGACAACGGTAGGGGGGCACTGAGTAACGGTGTATGTCTTGGTGGTGTAGACAGTGCTGGTGGTGTACTCAGTAGTAGAGTGAGTAGGCACAGTCACGTTGCCGGGCTGAGTGTAGACAGTGGTGAAGCCAACGTGAGTGGTCTGGGCGGAGGGAGTTCCGTAGACGACAGTCTAAGCCATGTAAGTCAATATATGCAAGGTTGATGATACTGATGAATGAATACTCACGTCGTCGTAGTGAGCGTTGGCAACAGCGGCCGCAGCAGCGAGAATGATACCTGAGGTCTTCATTGTAGTGGTTGGTGTTTAGTTGTGTGTATTTGTTAACGAATGTACTTTGTCAGTGTATGTAAGTTGACAGAGCTAATCTTTGAACGAAAGACGATGGTGTATTAGATAGATAGTACGAAGGAAGGGGCTGAAGACAGGCGAGGCAGAGCATTTCTTATATCTCATCGACCTGGTGGCCCAATTGTTGGGTAGGTATGGTAAGGTAAGCGAGGTAGAGCGGACCCGACTAACTCATGGTTAATTCGATTCTATTCCAAGCCAATGGCGGCCGACTAGTGTTAGCAGGGCTGATGATAAGCCATGCCGAAGTGGCTGTTGAGAATTGCGACGATGGATACGAGGTGTGGGCATGGGTGGGTTGTCCGGTGCCAATACCCTGGGTCTTCCGTATTGCCTGTCAGATGCTAGTGACCACTCACGGCATTCCCCCCATGTCCTAAATAGGAAAACCCTACCCAAAAGAGCCGTGATCTTTGTCTTGGCCCTGTTATCGTCAACCTGCAGCGGGCCGTAGCCATGTCCTTCAACTGCACCTAGCGAAGTCTAGAGCAAAGCTTTGCAGTTGAGCCCCACGGTGATAGCTATCACTCACCGAGCTTTGCAATTTCAAATTTTCTCTCCATCGCCCCGGCAATCATGGCCCGAAACTTGGCAGGCACATGTGGTTCTCTGCACAGGATTTCGTGAGTATTGACTGCGACGGAAGGGTCCGGGGCTGGATGCCAACCTAGATCAGAACCCTACACGCATAGTGGCTATGTCAGCATGTAACGATTCGATCTCATAGAAAAGCTTAAACCACCTGTTGGCAAATGGTGGACGCAACGTCGGGTTGCCATGACTGAGTGGTGCATCGTAAGGCTACCAAGAGTTGACAGGGGCTATTCTTGGAAAAATGGCGTTCTGTTCTTCGCCCATGGAAACCTGCCATGCGCTATGTGCCCTGTGCTCAGCGCCGGCAGGCCCGGGCAAGCCACATTCACCGGCCACCAAGATAGAGCCTGAGCCTGAGCCTGAGCCTCAGAAGGGTAAATCCCCGAAGCTGGTAAGAACAACGATCGAAATAACTGGAATGTTTCGTTTTAACGGCCTCCAGTTTCCCCCGATGACTTCATTTTGAGTCAGCAACCGAGATCTCGTGCTTTTGACTCCAAATTTGGGATCTCGGTTTCTCCAAATAGATTGTATCTCAGAATAGAGTGACCGTAGCTGAGGACTGGAGACGGAAAGTCTGGAGACCTCGAACTCTACTACCGCGAAATGGTATCATGTACCGCAACCTGTTGACCCGCTGGATGAGTCAACTGGCAAATGACACTGACTAACACCCTTCTTTGTTCTTGCTGTGCCCTTCCTTGTCGAAGTGAGGCCATATGGACCACTCCCATTCGCATATCGATCGGATATCTGTTTGCTCTTCGTATTGACCACACCCTCTTCTTTCGATCTGGCTCGTGGTATCTTCCAAGGTGCCAAACAGCTGTCACTTGCTCGGGAAGATCCAGATGGCAGAATGGTAAACTTCTGTGGTAACGTTGCTAGGTTGCACAAACTTTACCAGCTGCCACCCGTCCGGCCTAATTACGTAGTAGGGTCTTTGTGGCGTTCTTTAGTTAGAGCCACAGCCTCATCGGACACAGCCTCAGATGTTAGCGTTGGACATGATTAGCGAGTAATCTTACAAGGATTCGTGTTGGCAGCGTTCATAAATATATCATCAAGCCTCTCCGTTCGGACTCGCAACCCATGCTTTCGATCATCTTGTCACAATCGCGCCATGGAGATATCCGTGGTAAAATCATGACTTTAATGCCAGCTTCGACTTGTCAACGCCACACAACGTGAGTCGTTCGTCTAGCCCTCGTCCAGGTGACATCGGCCAGTTGAACATTCTGCGGGTACAGCCAGACTTGGCTTGGGAGTTTGGACAAGGGATAAGACGCGATACCTACTGAGGGAATTAACGAGGCTGCTAGCCATACGAATTCGACAGCGGCTCGTATTTCTCTGTGTCCATCCAGATCACTTATCCCCGCATCATCCCAAGTCCCATGGCTGCAAGATCAGGCTGAATGATTACTCTGTTCGTCTGTTCTTCACATGATGGATCCTATGATACGAAGTCCAGTGAAGAAACGCGCGAGTAATATCCAAGGGACTCCCATTCCGATACTTGGGGAGCAAGCTTTTTTTTTTTTTTTTTCCATCACCACTAGCAGTGCAGGGACTTG